TATATATATATATATATATATATATATATATATATATTTATTGCATATCAGTTTCACCATAACAGGCAATTTCTAAAGAGAGTTTCACAACTTGTATTGTAATACAGTAGAATAATTTAGTCTTGTCAGAGTGTTTTCAAGTAATTGAACCTGCCTATGTGGATGTTGAGGAAAAGGAGATAATTATTTAAAGCTCTTAGTTTGAGTTGTTTTGAATATATTATTTTAAAATAGGTGGATTGTGTGCTGTCCATTTATTGTTGAAATTTAATGTCAACAAGTCACAGCCACTTACTATAAAGATTCTGCCCTATAAAATCTGAGAAATTGTCTTTATAAAAAAATGTTATTGTACTTGGATATACATGTGTATATGATGAATTTCCATTCACAGAAGTTGAGAATTAAAAAAGTAACTTAATCCTAAATTGTACCTGACCATGTCCTTAACCCTATCGCCCCAATTACCCTTCACTGCACGACATAAGGTTTTAGTGTCTTACATTCAACATTTTATTAAACTACTTTTTTGTTTATGTTATAACAATTAGAACAGCATAAAATCTTAGCTAATAATCCATATTTTAATAGTATACAAGTTTTAAGTTCTTAATTCTAAAAGGAAATATACAAAAAAAATCCTGAATTTCCACTAGTGTAACACACGACACATTCTGTCTTAGCATGTCATCATCCCTATTTTATCCATCACCCCTCGAAAATGTAGGAAATAAATATTGACTGACCTCGTAATCACCAAAACAACATTGAAATAAATCTAAATTACCCCTTTTTTCTTTCCAAAATGACTTCAAATTGTAACACAAAACTACATTTGCTTATCATAAATAGCTTTCAACTCGTAATAGTATATATCTAATTATGCTTAAATTTTATTGTTTTATTGCCATTCTAACCGTGTCTAACTACTATTCGTGCCATATAATTTGTAAATCATGTAGCTCCCATTACAGTATTGAATTACATAATACATGAATTACTAGTGAACATACTTCGTGATAATTATTATTATTCTTTATTTTACCTAACCTAAAAAGTTTCCAATTTTTTACATCTTACTTACTTGTATATTAAAAATATACACGAGAAATAAGAAATAAAGTACTTACCTAGGTCTTTTTTTTGTTGTTGTTGTAGACTGTCGATGACAATTAACCCTACCTTTTTTATATACTAATGGTACTAATGTACTAAATCTTTTATTTAATTAAATAATGTTCCAAAGAACACAGAATAATAACATTCAAAAAACAGAATATGTCCCATAACTGTCAATTTGTATTCTGTTTTCTGCCTTTCTAACTATGCAACAAGAACTGTTAGAAATTCAGTTACTTTTGTCGGTGTGTTTCCTGTGGAAATAGAACTTGAACTGGAAGCAAAACTTACAATTCTCTGTACAGAAAATAATGTAATATATTACATCACACGATAGAGTAAAACCTTGACTTTCCATTGGTTATCAATAATATAGTATTGAATGTCAGAGAAAACAATCAATTTCTGAAAGATGGGATGTAATGGTGGGTGTGATTTTGTATTTGATGGCTCTGTAACCAAATAACATTGAATACTATAAAATAATGCTTTACCTGAGCAATTACAACATTATAATGAGTAATTTATGTTAAATTTCCTACTTCTTGGAGGGGTTGTAAACAAATTAGAGAAGATGGAATGCCAAGAGAGAAAATTTCAATTCTCATTCCAGGAGAAATTCAGGTTTTTTTATATTGCCTAATAAAATCAAGAACTTAAAGCTCGTATACTATTAAAATTAGCTCCATTTTTACACTAAACGGATTGGTATACTTTGATAAAAAAAAAAAAGTAGTTTAATTCAATTTTGTATGTAACTCACTAAGACCTTCCAACATGTGCACAGAAAGGATGCTTGGGTCAAGAGGGTTAATTATATTGCACTTTTATTTGTCAAATTTCAAGGTTGAATATTTTTGTCTTTAACCTTTTTTGTAAAAGCTCAATTTATTTCTATTATTTTTCCTTCTAAGTAGTGTCAATTATTAACTATTTATCCCCTTGATAAGTGCACGTCATGACTTTTTACAGATGTACATTCAAAATTTAAACTGCTAATGTGGCATCAAAATGTATTATATATATGAAGTTTAAATACTATGTTTTAATTTGTCAATTTCAAAGTGAAATATTTAAATAAGTTCTGAATCTCCCCTTGTCTGTGTAATGTGACATTTGTTAACTTCATCTTTCCCATTTTTCATCACCCCTCTATAATATCCAGAATTTAACATAAATTACTCATTATATAGTACAGGTACTGAGGCACATTCTACTTCTTATAAGCCTGTTTATGGATATAAACCAGAAAGTCAGATATATCTGCCACATCTTACACTCACATTCTCTCTTTTACAAATTGCCAATAATTCTCTCTGACATTTGCCATTACATCATTTATAACCCAAAAAAGACAGTTTTAATTTACCAAATGATTATAATGTCACCTTAACCTCAGTAGTTTATAGTTTTTTTGTCTACAACCTGAAAGTTGCTATTGTCAAATTCAGATCAAGCAACTAAGGGAATTATTTTAAGGCACTTATGTCTTAGCTAGAAAGCTAGATAAATTATAACAACAGTTATAGGTATTGTGCACTGTTTACTTTCTGTGCATGTTATTTTGTCTTAAGTTTCACAGGTGGGCTGACAGCAAAAAACCTAGAGGTCAAACTTAAAAACAAGAAATTTAGTAGTTGTATATATCTAATTATTCATCTTTACAAAAGTATCTAAAATATAAAAAAACTTTTGATATTCATTTAAGAGGCTTTAGAGGTTACACAAATAAAATCTGAAAACTGTAAGATAAAATGTTTTTAATCTTAACATGACAATCCCTTGCATTTAGACTACATATATTCACAGACAAATCTTTAGTAAAAAATAGTTAATTAAAACAATCTTGTTTTTGGGTGCAAAAGGCTTGTAATGTTTACTAATAGCTTCCTAAATTTCATGAAAATATACTCAATACATCAAAAGTAATGCTAGTTATATTATCACAGTTATTCAGTGGTTCCAAAGTCAGTGTAAATACAATTAATCAACTTCACCAACTAACAATTAACCAACATATTTCTAACTTAAACATCCTACAGGAATAATCAGACATATTTTAAAGCACACATAAAATACTTCAACCTACTCCCGATAAATAAGTTTGTTTATAAAAAAAATTGCAACATTTAATGATTCTTTTTATCACTAAATTGTATATGAAAATTAAATAACCTGCATTCATGGAATTCATTCCCATTAATCCAAGTCCACCACCAAGCATTCCTGCTCCAAGACTGGCTGCAGTAACCAAACCTATAATAATAATAACAATAATGAAGAAAATGTACGATATTTGGAAAAGCTGCAGTAAAATGGCATGCTATATAAACATAGTAACTATTTGAGTGTAACATATAAAATATTCTCAACTCACAGTAAATACTTTACAAATCATTTTGCTATTTAATGTCTAATTCACAAATGCTCATACAAACACGTCTTACAAATATTTTTCTTCACACAAAGAAGAAAATCAATATGCAAAGGTGACAAAATAAAAAAAATTAGACCACTGGAAATAAGTCACCTTAAAAACTTTCCTTTCTTTCCTTAGTGGCAATGGTTATTTATGCTTCTGTGTGGGTCTCTCTCTCTCTACATATATATATATTAATGATGTTAGAAAAACATGTAGGTTCAAGAAAGCACTCAGGTTATAGGGTTTTTATTCATATCTATATATATATCTATCCATCTATATATATATATATCGTGTGTTTGATGACCTGAGTTTTAAGATATAGCATTTATGAAATGCATTGAATTTTTTTTTTTTTTAAGAAGACTAGGCCTAACTTTCTTATAATATTAATAAAATGCAAACATCATTATTTTTTTGAAATTTTAAATATTTTCTAATATGGTCAATGATTTTTACTCTTATTTATTCAGAACATATTAGGTTATATACTTTAGTAATAAATTCTTAAAATTTCATGAATAATGTTAATAAACAACTGACAAATCTTTTAATTCATAACAGTATGTTAAATTTTATGCATAATCATAAATTTTTAATAGTATTTATAGTAATACCCCATTAAGACGGAAAACTTTAAATTTCCAGCAATCTAGGTGCAGATATATCATTTGGATGTATTTATGACAGAGGAACAAAGGGTTAAATAATTCATATAAATCGAGTTACTGGATTATACAAAAACGAGTGAAAGTGGCATACAAGCTCTACATAGAGTACCACCTTTTAACACTCTCAATACGGGCTCTGTCAACTTGACCGACCATGACCTTTTCGTACTCGTTTAAAGTCTTTATAGATTTAATACTTATAACTCTCAATATAGTGGGTATATCTTCACAATTTGGCAGTCTTTCAGTTAACATTACAACTCTTTCACATACAAAAACTCATATTTCTTAATAAACTAAAATAAAGATTTGTCCATGAATATATATTGAGTATTTGTTTTGAATTGTCCGTGTGCAAAGTAATTTATGTTAAAATGAAAAATACTTTATCATCTCAAATTTGTGTAATCCCTAAAACCTCCTAATTACATTCCAGACGTTTTTTTCCACTAAAACTTTATAGTTTATCTGTTTTCTCTACCCAATCTCAAAACAGGATTGGTCAATTCGGCCCACCTCAAAACATTAAAAAACCTAAATTACCTTTTTTTCCTTTCTAGTATGACTTCAAATTGTAACATGAAACTACATTCGTTTATCCTTAGTATCTCTAAGTTCATGTGGAATGTTCAGCTCATGTTATGCTATTGAATTACATTACCCACAATCTGCTTACCTACATGCCTTGTGAAAATTTTTTATGATATTATCATTATTATTTATCTTACCTACTCTAACTTTAACTGACCTAAACAGTTTCCTATTTTTACATTTGAATTACTTTTATACTACTCTTGATGACACTTAAGCCTACTTTTTTATAATAATGGTAGTACTTCACTAAATTTTTATTTAATTAAATAATGCACCAAACATACAATAATATCATTCAAAAACCAAACAACTTCCATAACTATCATAATTTTTTCTGGCTTTCAAAAAAACACCTAATGTAATAGGTCATTAGATAGATCAAAACATTGGCTTTCTGTTGGTTATAAATAACATAGCATTAAATGTAAGAGAGAGCTATTAACAAATCCTGAAAGAGAGGATGTGATGGGTGGGTGTGGCAAGGGGGTCTGAATTTTTATTTGATAACTGTAACCAAACAAGATTGAAAGCTATGAAAATTTTGATTTGATTGAACAATGACAATATTACAGTGAGTAATTTACATTAAATATTGTACTTACTGGAGGGATGTTGAATAAATTAGAGAAGAGCAAATGCCTACAGAAAACAGCCACATTTCTCACACTAGGGGAAATTCAGGGTTTTTTTTTTTATACATTTCCTTTTAAATTTAAGAACTTTATATACAATCAAAATATTGATTATTAGCTATGATTATACTAATCGGTATAATACAAACAAAAAGTAGTTTAATTAAATTTTGAATGTAAGACACTAAAAACCTTGTGAAATGCACAGAAAATGACACCCAGTTAGGGAGAGTTAAAATATTAGTCTGTGTTTTGTGGTAATAATTTTTAATAGTGAATACTGTAAAAATAAAATGTGCAGCAACAACGGGGGAGATAAGAAAATGCAAAACAATTGCAATTGCTCTAGAAGCTACCCCATTAGCTGTATGCATGAAAACAAAATGGGTGAAAAGATGTTTGAATTTTTGAAGGTACCTTTTAATGTAGCTTACTATATTGCAAAGAACAACAAGCCAGTTTCCGATTTTGAAGGGTTATTAGAGTTGACTGGTAAATTTAGGTTGAACTTAAGAGATAACAATGACAAAAGATGCAAGGACTTTGTCTCATACATTGCAAAAGTAATAAGAAATGAACTGATTTGCAAACTACAGGATGTTGAATATGTCAGCTTGATGAAGAGTTGATTTTGTATGTAAAGTACATAAAAAACAATGGAATGAGAAAAGTGTTTCTGTCAATTCTACCTCTTGATAGTGCAACTGCAGATGGCTACTTAAATACCATTGAAAAAGAATTGAAAAAGCATAGACTCTTGGACTGGTTATCTTCCAGTCAGCTGATTGGTATTGGTACTGAAGGGGTAGCCACCATGACTAGAGCAGAGAATGGACTAATAAATAAAAATTAGGCAGAGTCTGAGCCAGGTAATTGGTGTTCATTGTATTGTAAGCAGATTAAATTTAAGCATGTTAAGTTCAGTAAAAAATGGAAAGAATATTGATAATCTTGACACAATTCTCAAGAAGCTATACAAATTTTATCAGTATTCTCCAAAGAGAATGTGACAAATGAAGCAAGTAGCTGAAAGTCTTCAAATCAAAACAAAGAAATTTCAATACTTAACTCTTTCAGCATGGGCTCGGTCCCTGGGACCGACCTTTAACCATTTTGTGCTTGTTATAGTTTTCATGCTATAATTTTTAAATTAGTAAGCATTTGTTAATATAATTTGGCAGATTATCAGTAGACATTACAGTGCTTTCATACGCAAAATATCAAATTTTTTTCATTAAGTCTTAAGGTATGTTAAGTAATTTTTTCTCATGCCTTTAGTTTCTTTTCGTACATTGCCTATCCAACATGCAAAGTAATTTCCATTTTAAGATTAAAAATACTTTTATGCATCAGAAAATGCTCAATTTTAACCTGCAAAATCTTTAATGTCCAGATGGTTATCACACGTTTCTAAAGAAAAAACTATATTTTATCTGTTATTTTCACTTATGAATCTCTGTACAGGTTTGGTAGATTTGACCAATCTTGAAACCAAGTTAAAAAATTAGGATATAAATAAGTTATGCCTCTTTCATTCTAGAATGAAAACAAATTATTACACGAAAACATAAATGTTTAGACTGAATAGCTTAAATCTCATAATATTATACACTTGTATATATTTATCATTTTTTATTATATTGACAATTCAGCCATGCCTGGCTAACAATACAGAAGTTATAATGACGTAGCACAAATGCTCTTATGTTACCGTATCCAATAATATAAAACTGACCTTTAGTCTTTATAAAATGACCTGTCTTGTCTGTGTTTTAGTGGTCTTGTATTTTGTAAATTGCAGTCACATTTGAATTATTATATATTATATGTTCATATAGGTTATTTAGAAATAAGTTCTTAAACTTGTGTTTTGTAAAACATAGAACAGTAAATAAAG